GCGACTCCGCCATGGAGCTGGCTGCCACGCTCTCCTCTCGCTCCAGCTCTGCAGCTGCTTCGGCTTCTCTCCTCCTCCTCCACCTGCCTCCTTCATCCTCCTCCTCCTCTTCTTCCTCCACCTCTGCTTCCCCTACCTCGCTGGGATTGTAGTTCTTCTCTGACTCCAGGTAGGAGACACGGGGGTCAAAGTCAGCAGCCATGTGCTTCTCCATCTGGTCTGGGTTCTGGGCCTTCATGATGAGCTTGTAGGTCTTCCCTTGGTACTTGGAGAGGAGGTGGCACCACGTGGCCCCCATCAGGGGTAAGGTGGCCAGCACCAGCAAGAAGATGCTCACCACCACAATGATGATGAGCGAGGGGATCTCTTTTTTGGTGGTGAAGACCACTTGGACCTGGCAGTCCTCCCCGAGGTAGGTGAGACACACGGAGTAGTTGGTGCCAGGGTTCAAGCCCTGGAACCAGTACGAGTTCACCCCTTCCTCAATCTTGGACCACTGGACCAAGGCATGGCCTTGCCTGCTCTCCTGGCACAGGTAGAGCATCCTGAGGTGGACCTTCTCAGGCTGCATGTAGGTGGGTGTGAGCTGCACCCGGGCATTGCGCTCCGACACATCCAGAGCGATCACCCCCAGGTCAAATGTGTGCTGCTTGAAGTCGCCACTCTGGTTGAAGGCATGGTTGGAGATGTACTTGCTGGTTTGTGTGGAGCCACACTTCTTCTCAAAGGATGGGGGCTGGAAAGGGATTTTCCCACCTCCTGTGGACTCCGTCCCAGCTGCCAAGGATGGTTGGCTCTGCCGGGTGGGACCGAGGGGTTTGTTCCTCTCATCTGGCATAAGCACACTATTCTTTGCTCCCTTGGCTCCAGGCTTCTTGTCACCTGGCTGTGCTTTACCCCCCAGTGGGTCCCTCCCAGGCTGCAGTGGGTATTTCTGGGTGCCTGCCACAGCCACATTGACTGAGGTCTGGTTGCTCCCCATTTCGTTGGTGGCCAGGCACGTGTAGGTGCCTTCCTCCCGCTTGCTCAGGTGGGGAATCACCAATGTGCCATTCTTGAAGACCAAGAAGCGCTCAGGGTCCTGTTTGGGCAGGTCCTTCCCAGCGGTCTCCTTTGGGTTCCCATTGAGCTCCAGGGTCTGGCTGGAGGTGCGGATCTTCCAGCTCACTTCGGGTGGTGGCGTGCCCGTCACAGCACAGTGCAGTGTCAGGGTGAAGCCATCAAAGAGCTCCGTGGTGTCCAGGTTAGGGTAATAGGTGAGCTGCACGGTGGGTGAGGCACACTGCACATCCGGGATCTTCCCCACCGGCACTCCTTGGAGCTGCTCTGGGAGGGCACAAGTGATGGAGTCCTTCTCAGGGATGGAGATGAGTGTACTGTCCATCCACTTCTTCAACCACTGGAGCTTGCAGGAGCACTCAAAGGGGTTGTTGTAGATCTGCAGGTGGGAGAGGGAACTGAGCGAGTCAAAGATGCCCTCGGCAAGGGTGGTGAACTTGTTGTTGTTGATGCGGAGGGAGCGGAGGTCTTTGAGAGTGTGGAAAGCTCCCTGAGGCACCAGAGCCATGTGGTTATTGTTCATCTTGAGCAGCTGGAGAGCGCTGAGGTTGTAGAGGTCCTGCCAGGGGAAGTCCACAATCTGGTTGTGGCTGATGTCGAGGTTTTTCAGCTGCACCAGGATGGCGAAGGCACCGGGCTCAATGGAGCGGATCTCGTTGTGTGCCAACCAGAGGGAGGTGACCTGGGTCACCTCCACGAAGGAACGCCGCTGCAGTGAGGTGATCTTGTTGGCCGAGAGGCTGAGGGTGGTCACGTTGGAGGGCAGACCCGTGGGCACCACTTGGAGGTCCTTGTAGGCGCAGTCGGCAAATTGGTGCGCGTACTTGTCCACGCAAGCGCAGGGCTCAGGGC